TTCTATACAGGGTGCTGTTGTGTGAGGACGCTGTTCTATTCAGGGTGCTGTTTGGAGCGCTGTTTAACCGGTAAACAGGATGTAGCCTACAGCAAGAGATCTGAGATACCGCGGCTGACGATCACGTTTAGCGGCAGACGATCACGTTTAGCGGCAGACGATCACGTTTAGCGGCTGATCAATACAAGTGGTTCCAGAGCCTACATAGCCCTAAGCTAAGATGGCCCATAGATGTGGAATCAATGAAGCGTGTCCATGACCTCAGCCAGAGCCAGGACACGAGCCAGTGCTCCTACAAGATGGCGGTTTGTTTATTCAGGATCTGGTGTAAACAATCACAAGCACCATTCTTCCTTCGCCAACATAGTGGTTTATGCCCATAGATCTTTTGTTGTTAGCTTACAAGTGGAGAGGAAATAAGCCTTACCAACTAAACAGCTTTATTCCAAACAAGTCTAGAGTATTTTGACACAACTGGAGCTCATATTCTGACATAATAAAACCATTATTCAATATTCAGGATAGGGAAGTTTCTATTCATCAATCAGAATCTTGTAGCAAGTGGGGTGAAAAACTGGAATAATTTCTGCGAGAAAACGAAGCTAATTATTATCATACTAGCCAAAGAACCCATTAGTTTCCTCATTGTAGTATTGAAAGACGGGTAATTTTGGGGCTCCATCTCAGCTAGTTCATCGCCTTTGGTTCTTGCTGACTGCTTATTTATTTTTAAGGCAATTATTGCGTGATAAAATCAACATGTTCTAGAAGCTTTAAAAGCAAGGCGAAATATGGTAACACTAGTGATAGATTTTATAACGATAGATCTAAATCTGTTGTCAGATATAGTATAATATAGTCCGTTTTGATGAAACCACGTGACATCCGCTAATTATTTTAAAAGATGGTAGGTCTCCTAAGATCACGTGCGATGGCGAACCACCGGCTCTGTTCGTGACTGTTGGTAGCCGGCCCAGGCTTCGTCACGTGATCCTGTTTACAACATAGTTTAAAAATAACTGGACTTTGTGAATGGTTCGAATTTTTTTTTTCACCAAACAAAAAAAAAACAAACCACAAACCAAACAGTCTATCAAAGAGACTCCTTAACATTCTCAGTACAAACTGACCAATCAAGAGCTCGCACCCGAGACATGACGTCACGTGTTTTCGCTCCCGCCCTCGATGTAATTGTTTTTACCTGACGATTAAAGAAAACTAATCAAATCCACAAGGAGTGCTTTGGTGGGCTTTCAATAACAACTCAGTGTGGAAGCTACGGTAGGCCGTCATGGCCTGAAATACTAATTGGCCAGCCATTCTACGGTATGCTGTCGTGGACAAAGATGCCGAATTCGTGTGCTAATGATTCACATAAAGGGATCAAATAAAACATCATTTATTACTTTGATGTTAAGATACAGGATTTTGCTTACAGTTATATAACAATGTTACTTGCAATAACAACAATGTTACAACATTTAGCGGCTGCTCATTTACAATGGGCCGGTTTCGCATCGAGTTGCTTTTCCCTGATAGTATGTATGGCTGTTATGTCAGCAATAAGGATCATAATAAGGGAAGGTTTACGGTTAGGGTAGAAAAAACTGGCTACGACGGAAGGGGGTCACAGAGTACTTACATTTTGGGGGGGGGGGGGGGGTGGATGCGACAAGAGATGCCGGCAAGAAACTCTGAGCACATATTAAACAGACTATGATTTATATTAGCGTTTAAAGGTTTTCAGCAAAAACTACAATTATATTGTTCCCGTATGTAGCTAGCACTCAACTAAGTGTTTACAGTTATCAGTTTATCAATGGACACAAAACTTCCCGTATGTAGCTAGCACTTAACTAAGTGTTTACAGTTATCAGTTTATCAATGGACCTAGCACTCAACTTAGTGTTTACAGTTATCAGTTTATCAATGGACCTAGCACTCAACTTAGTGTTTACAGTTATCAGTTTATCAATGGACCTAGCACTCAACTAAGTGTTTACAGTTATCAGTTTATCAATGGACCTAGCACTCAACTAAGTGTTTACAGTAATCAGTTTATCAATGGACCTAGCACTGAACTAAGTTTTTACAGTTATCAGTTTATCAATGGACCTAGCACTGAACTAAGTGTTTACAGTTATCAGTTTATCAATGGACCTAGCACTTAACTAAGTGTTTACAGTGATCAGTTTATCAATGGACCTAGCACTGAACTAAGTTTTTACAGTTATCAGTTTATCAATGGACCTAGCACTTAACTAAGTGTTTACAGTGATCAGTTTATCAATGGACACAAAACTTCCCGTATGTAGCTAGCACTTAACTAAGTGTTTACAGTGATCAGTTTATCAATGGACACAAAACTTCCTGTATGTAGCTAGCACTTAACTAAGTGTTTACAGTTATCAGTTTATCAATGGACCTAGCACTTAACTAAGTGTTTACAGTAATCAGTTTATCAATGGACACAAAACAAAACCAGCGGGTGGGACGTGCCAGGTGGTACGGTTGCACCGTGTGAGCGTACATAAAACATGAGCCAAAACCACAACATCCAGCCTTGTGGATAACCCGCAGGGGAGAGAACACTGTATATAATTCTCTGCATACAGAGCGAGTTCCCTACCGGTGGTGATTGAGAGATGGGTGTAAGGTGGCTGTGAGGTGGGTGTAAGCTGGGTGTGAGGTGGGTGTAAGGTGGATGTGAGGTGGGTGTAAGATGTCTGTGAGGTGGATGTGAGGTGGTTGTAAGTGGTTGTGAGGTGGATGTGATGTGGGTGTAAGGTGGGTGTGGTGGCTGTGAGGTGGGTGTAAGGTGGGTGTGAGGTGGGTGTAAGGTGGGTGTAAGGTGGGTGTGAGGTGGATGTGAGGTGGATGTGAGGTAGATGTGAGGTGGATGTGAGGTGGATGTGAGGTGGCTGTGAGGTGGGTGTGATATCATCACACAGGTAATATTTCGCAACCGTCAGCAACTTCCCATTGTTGAGTACAAAATAAAACGCCGATTTTTGTTTAGTCAACATGACGTACAAATGAAATTTTGTCAAACGTTTCCTACATAATTACCGAGACAGCGCTAAAAAAAGGTTCAAATAACTGCCGAATCTTTCGAATTTTCTTTCATCGATAAGATAAAAGCGATACCTGCGTGTTGATATTATTCTAGTTTCATGTAGAAATAACTGAATCTGACGTCATCTCAGGTGTATTACGTCCCACGCGTGTGGGGTCCGTCATAATTTTACCCAGTAGACTTGGTTCAAAACCTGTAGGTGCTGCAAACAGGCGGTGTGTATGGTATCTGCTCCACTACATAGGTCATGTCCAGCGTCCATCTATGGCTATGTACAGGTACCTCTTAGTCCTTCTACAGGTGCCTCCTTGTCCATCTATATGATCTACAGGTGTCCCCATGTCCATCTACAGGTGCATACATGGCAATCTACAGGTGTCTCCATGTCCATCTATATGATCTACAGGTGCCTCTTAGTCCTTCTACAGGTGCCTCCTTGTCCATCTATATGATCTACGGGTGCATACATGTCCATCTACAGGTGCCTCCATGTCCATCCACAGGTGCCTCCATGTCCATCTACAGGTGCCTCCATGTTCATCCACAGGTGCCTCCATGTCCATCTATATGATCTACGGGTGCATACATGTCCATCCACAGGTGCATCCATGTCCATCTACAGGTGCCTCCATGTCCATCCACAGGTGCATACATGTCCATCCACAGGTGCATCCATGTCCATCTACAGGTGCCTCCATGTCCATCCACAGGTGCATACATGTCCATCTACAGGTGCATACATGTCCATCAACAGGTGCATACATGTCCATCTACAGGTGCATATATGTCCATCCACAGGTGCATACATGTCCATCCACAGGTGCATACATGTCCATCTACAGGTGCATACATGTCCATCTACAGGTGCATACATGTCCATCTACAGGTGCATATATGTCCATCCATAGGTGCATCCATGTCCATCTACAGGTACCTCCATGTCCATCTAAAGATACCACCTATAACCATCCACAAGTGTCACCCTACTATCTAACAGTGGTTCTCAACCAGAAATGGAAGTAGGGTGTCAAAAGAAAGAGCCTAAGAGTACAATACCACCACAAGTAAGAAGTTTTACTGAGCAGAAAGCTGTATTTACTGAGAGAAAACGAATGTTCAAGTCTTGCTCAACACGACGTGTACAAAAGCACAACCAAACACAAGGCTGACTTCTGTGGATCTACAGCATTAAATGACATGCAATACAATATTGTGTATTTAGTCTACTGTTACAACATACAATGGAATCGCTTGATGAATAAATGAAACCAAGCCCCAGAGGTAAACAAGAGGTACACGACAATAGTGAGAGGTCAAATACAATGTACAGCCCGCTTGTGGGGTTCATAACAGTATGCTAATGGGAGGCTTGTTGTATTCAAATGGGAGGCTTAACGTACGTCTTGCTAGGGTTCGTAGATCTAACAATGGCCGTACACTGGCGTGGGGGAGTAAACAATATGATGTAGGTCTACTGGGGGTGGGAGGGTTGGACGGTAGGATATACTGGGGGGGGGGGGGGGTAGAGGTCGGGGTGATGTGTAACGGGGGGGGGGGGCACGATGTGAAGTACTTTGTCGTATAAAGTCGATATCATTATGGGCTGGAGGAGTGAGGAAGACAATATGTGTGAGGGTGGGCGATATTAGGAATACGGTATATGTGGGTGGGGGTGTGAGGTAGATTTTATGATGTATGTGTGTGGGGAGATATGAAGAAGACGTTATGATATGTGTGCGGGATATGTGACGAAGATTTTATAATTTTTATGTGGGTGAGAGATTTTATGAAGATTATATGATGTATGTGGGTGGAGAGGTAAGAGGAAGACGATATGATATGTGTGTGGGATATATGATGAAGATTATATTATATATGTGTGGGGAGGTGAGAGAAAGACGATATAATCTAACGGTCCACCTACCAAGCGGGGCCATCGCTACAATCCAATCAGATAACTCGTTCCTTTGTCTGGCGATCTGCACGGCCCCCGCGATGTTTCCACGCCACAACTCCAGCTGAAGGTGGTATTCCATGTTATCATTGTTTAGGTGGTATTCGCCTGAAAAGGACAACATGAAATTACTACATTGTAGCTAAATATAGCTACCCAGTGCAATGAAATCTTATCCCAAATATAGCGTTGGTTCCTATTTAGCCAGGTTTAGAAAAAAAATCAATATGTCCGAAAAATCAGAAATCATAATTATTTCGTGGTGGGCGGGGAGGTTATATTTGGCGTTGAGATGGGATAAGGGGGAGTAATAGAGGGGAGAGAAATCAGGGGAGAGAAAGAGATATAAAACTGGTGGAGTGCCGTGTTTATCAGTCGAAGGAAGCCCCATGCCTACATCAGGAGTTAAAGTGTCCTGACAACAGCACGGTTCTTGACCTGCTTAGCCCACTTGAGCTCTCTTTCTTCACTTCTTAACGGCGGCACAAACGATCTACCACTTGGTAATATCAGGAAAATTCCGCGAGAGCTTCTGGATATGACCAAACGGCTCATTAAATCAGCAGACGACAACATTAAGACGCGAACGCTTGGCTGGCATTAACTGTCACTGATGCAGAAATCAAAAGTCACGTGAGAACGTTGTTGTCCTCTAATTTTAGCAGCGGCGTGATTAGGGCTATGTAATCACCATTAGACTTGCAGATTACGTAATGCTCCACTTCACTGTGCTTAGAAAACAGGGCTGACATTTGTTTCGGATGTCCAGGTGCAAAGAAAAAACAAATGGAAATAATTCAATAACTCAAGGAGCAAATAGGACCAAGTTAAGTCAATTTGTAGTAGAATTATTTTAACGATATCACTGAGCTCTAAATACTTAAGGTAGAAAGCTGAAGACTTACAAGCCTGCATTTGGTTGTCCACCATGAACCATAAGAGTCTAGTGATAGAATACACAAGCCAAGCATGGCAGTGCCGTCTGACTACCAGCACGCATGAATTCACTAAGTCCCACACAGACGGCAGGGTGGTGTCTACCAGAGGTGCCTGCCCGTGGGTCTAAATATTTACTTTATACAGTTCCCGGCAACATGACTCAGGACTTCCCCAACATATCGTTTGTTTAACGCTATCCTTATACGCACTGTAAAAACTATAATCGTTTTTTGGTGATGTGTCCAATGAATAAGTAAAAGTAAAAAAAGAATCTGTGGAGCAGAGACGGTTGGAATCTCGAGGGGGAGTTTAAATATGTTATGATTTGTTTTCAGTGTTATTGAAATACGTGAACATAAAACTAAATGTTCTAGAATTCATTTTTAAATACATATGTGATGTAATTAATACTTCTGGTAATATGCAATGTTTGATAAAAAGCCAAAACAAAAAGGTATGTTTTATGCGCAACTACATCGTAACATTTTCAATAAGAAAAAAAGTTAAAACTAAAACATTAAAAAAACAGTTACAGTCGTATTTTACAGTCGCAAGTTCAAAAATCAACAGGAAGCTCGCCTCAAAGAAAATACAATATTTTGAGTTATCTACATATGCCCAGTTTATTATGTTACGTTTAGCTTACTGTTATGTTTACCACTAAGCTAAACATATGCCTGAATTAGGTTAATTAACGTGAAAAGATTCAACAGCATCTATGTTTCTGGCCTTGAGTGGGTATTGAGGGGTAGATGGAGACAGAAACAAAATGGACCCGGACCTGAATACAATTTGGACCTGACCACATAGAGTGACCGGAATATGAAGTCGGACAAAAGGGTCAACGTAGTACACAGCTGACACATTTAGAGTGAAATTTGCTGCAATGTAGATTACGTGATTCGTTTTGACCACGATTTATTTGTAATCCCCCCCCCCCAACCCCGCATAATTGTCCATCGATAAGTTATATGTCCCAAGTGTAACTGTCACGTGACCTGATACATCTGATGAGAAGTGGCCAGTGACATCAAATTGTCCAGGGTCAATGACCTCAAATTGTCCAGCTACAAACACGACATCACAGAAACCGTCGAATCTCGTTCGGCGTGAGCACTTCTAACACGTAGACTACACACAAAACGGGAGGGTCAGCACGAGTACTAGAGCCCTACAATGTTGGTGTTGAAGATATTTCAGCTTGATATTGTTTGGGGCTTTGGTCTGTGTGCGGGAGGGGGGGGGGGGGTCGTATTGGGAACCGTGCACCTTATAAAACACGAAGGCATAAGTTAATGTAGGCCAAGTTTACATAACACTTTTCTGCATGGCAAGTCATTAGATACGTCCTTTCCAAACAACGATACAGTCGTGTGAAGGGCTAGTAAAAAAAACAAAGAACTTAACAGATCGCCATGGTCACTACCACGACGTAATGAATTCATTCCTCTCACCCCTCCCCCCCCCCCCTCTAGGTACTACAGAAACGTTTCGATATCAGGTCAACAACAGTTTGTAGCAGTCTTATCTCGTCCCCTCCAGCGCTGATCAGTAACTCAAGTGATCTCAGCAACTGTTGAACACCGCGCTACTAAAGGTGGTATCTCACGACATCTAGTATTTGAACCACAGCGCTACTAAAGGTGGTATCTCATAACATCTAGTATTTGAACCACCGCGCTACTAAAGGTGGTATCTCACGACATCTAGTATTTGAACCACCGCGCTACTAAAGGTGGTATCTCACAACACGACATCTAGTATTTGAGCCACCGCGCTACTAAAGGTGGTATCTCACAACACGACATCTAGTATTTGAACCACCGAGCTACTAAAGGTGGTATCTCATAACATCTAGTATTTGTACCACCGCGCTACTAAAGGTGGTATCTCACGACATCTAGTATTTGAACCACCGCGCTACTAAAGGTGGTATCTCACAACACGACATCTAGTATTTGAGCCACCGCGCTACTAAAGGTGGTATCTCACAACACGACATCTAGTATTTGAACAATGCGCTACTAAAGGTGGTATCTCACAACACGACATCTAGTATTTGAACCACCGCACTACTCAAAGTGGTATCTCACAACACGACTTTCAGAGTGGTATCTCTCAACTCTCCCGAACTTAACCTTGACCTCCAGCACGTTTCCATTTCTTTAATTGCTCTGCACTCGCGAGCTATTTCTGGCACATTAACATGGCCGAGTATTTCTGTGTACACCGCTGTTCCGTGCACCTCCCGCCTGAACAGCCGAGCGGCAGGATACATGAATAGAATCAATGAACGGTGGGGGTTCTGCCGGCGATCTGCTCCTCATCAACTTCCCCCATAGCCAGACCCTGGCCAATTTTTTGGCATGCTTTTGTTTAGATCAATGTGTGTAGGAGGTGAATGTGGCGTGAGATTAACAATAGGTCTGGATGGATAAGTTTATAGAGGTAACCAAGGACTAGAGATGTATAGCTACTTACACTAGTGTCCAGTTCTGTGAGGGGGGACGTACACACAGACCACATGCAGTCTCAGATGGACATGTCATGATGCTGGTTTAAAACGAAAGTGAAACATTCATTGCCTTTATTTTTTTAAACAGCTTCCAAGGTAACGTGTACAAGGTCACATGACATATGTCTCCAGGGTTCAAGGTTACATGTCACACCTGTATATTTTGACGTTATTTAACTTAGGCAGACATGAATGTCTCCAGGGCTCAAGGTTACGTGTCATATGTCTCCAGACAGGCCCGCGGGGTCAGTGCTACATAGCACGGAGATTTCCAGCGGTCCCACACAAATACTGTCAGAACTCTGTTAATTAAAACACGAACATGCAAGCCGCCACACTCAATCAAGCGCCTGGATCAAGGCCCGTCACTCTGCCAAACCGTGGAATGTTTCCAGCGAGCAGACAGCTGATGTGACGTTTTTATAGTTCCGGTCATATGTCAGTGTAAACAATGGTCACATTTCATTACAGATGGGGGGGGGGGGCGAAGGTGGCGGGAGGGACACAAGACCGTGGGGGCATAGATAATGAAATTCTATGTACCACTCTTGGTCGAGGCCATTTCATGAAAGAATATCAAGTTGTTAGTGATACTTATCCTGACCAACGGTAGGGGTAGTCAGTGATACAGCCCTGACCAGCAACAGTCAATGATACAATCCTGACCAATTACAGAGGGCAGTCTATAATACAGCCTTGACCAATGGGCAATGTCAGAGGTCATTCTGTAATACTGTATTGACCAATGCCAGAGGGTAGTCTGTAATACAGCCTTGACCTAAGGTCAATGTCAGAGGGCAGTCTGTAATACAGCCTTGACCAATGTCAGAGGGCAGTCTGTAATACAGCCTTAACAAATAAACCAGCCACAGGTGGTGAATCAACCATTTCGTCTCATTACAATCTACCAGATCAACTCCGACCCGATGTCAAAGAGATAAAGAACCTTCAAATGATCATTGATATACATTGCTTTTCAGCCCGGTATTATTTCTTGAAGCACCACAGACAATTGGTCTTATAAAGCTAAGCCAGGACGACAGACGATATGGGACGTGATAGCCGAGGGTCGATAACGACGTGCTATGGCCTGATTCGGACATGGGTACCCAGATATTACACGGACGATGGAGAACACAACAAAATCTGTTTCTACACTCGTGCATCATCTGAACACACCGCGCATCATCTGAACACACCGCGCATCATCTGAACACACCGCGCAACATCTGAACACACCGCGCAACATCTGAACACACCGCGCAACATCTGAACACACCGCGCAACATCTGAACACACCGCGCAACATCTGAACACACCGCGCAACATCTGAACACACCGCGCAACATCTGAACACACCGCGCAACATCTGAACACACCGCGCAACATCTGAACACACGGTGCAACATCTGAACACACACACTCGTATGCGAACACAGTACATGGATTGTGTCACAGTAGGTGGTGCTGTTGCTAAGTGTGAACAATTTGAACAAAAATTAACACTTGTTAAGGTTTTAACTTCGTAACGCAAGTAGGACCATAATAAACTCGGACAATCGGTTGCTTACAACTATGACATCAAATTGTCGACAGAGCTATCATATCAAGACGCCACATTTTAAACCTATACTAAACTAAGCGATTTAGTCATCATGTATTCAACTGAGCTTCGGGCTGGACATACCAAGTGACCAGCGTGCTACAAAAGCCTGCGTGACTATCGTGTTTGCTAATCGAACAACCTACCAGTAACGTGACCTAGGCAACAACTGCAGAAATATACCTATCACTCGAGTAAGAACCAGAACCAAGCGATGACGCAAGATAGGGTCTCGTCTCAACAGATGACAGGAGGTATAAATATAACAGGTAAAGGCAGGCGGTACCGTTACATTAACAGGTACAAGTAAGGACAGGCGGTAATGTTAGAAAAACATGTTACACTTCTAACAGGTGTGCCAGACGGTATTGTTACTGTGAAAGGTGTGACAGGTGGTATTGTTACTGTGACAGGTGTCACAGGTGGTATTGTTACTGTGACAGGTGCTACCGGGACAATCGGACTGGGGTACATAGACCTGGTTACATGTACCGCCAGAGATAGCACTGATGTTACAAATAAGAGATAACAGAGATCCGCCTGCATAAAATGTACTTTATCAACCCTGTATAAGACTACAATGGTGGACTGTTACATAGATAACCCTTGAAACCCGTGTGGGCTCACAGTCTCGCCAGTCGCTATAAGACTGATTTAAGAGTACCACACGAATTCATGAAACATAATTTCACGATCGACAGTTGATGTCTTGTTTTATAACTACCAAAGAAAATTAAACATATAGTTATATTTTTAAAGTACTTATAGAAACAACTATTAGCTAGATCTATGTGGTATACCATGAATGACTCAGTACCGTACATAAATCAATTTGTTATTACAGGCTATTGTAGATGAGGAACCGTAAAAAGTGTTGATATTAAATATCTATACCATGTAAAAGTTATTAAATATGTAAATGATATCAAATATGTTAAAGTAATAAAAATATGCAAATGTTATCAACTATGCAAATGCTATCAAATATGTCTGTCACTCATTTTGTTTTCCACCGTCTCTTCTCCGCCTAGCTATGTCATCCGACCGACTTTATTTTCCGGGTTATTAAAACAACGTACAGGTATTTGTCTAACCCCCTCTTTCCCCCCCCCCCCCCCCCCCCCCATCCTAGTGTACAAGAAGTGCTAATGACACTCGGGGAAAACAAACCAGAGGTTTTTAAAAACTACGTTTGGCTCTATGATCGTTAACTTATTGTATTAGCCCTCTTTTGTCGGCGGTAACGTGTAATTGGTATCGTTGAAGAGATGTGGGATCAACTCAGAATAATCAATCCCAGTTCTTCTTCCACAATAACACAACCAGGTATGATACTCTGCCATAACACAACCAGGTATGATACCCCACTATTAAAACCAGAAACACAAACAACCTTAGATAGAACAGCCCCACAATAAAATGATATTATCATTTTTGACACTACAACCCTCGTCCTAATTCCACTACACTGTGGTAACCCAATCTGTTGCACGAGTCCACCAGGCTACCACAACGTGTTGACAGAGATGCCCTTTCACGTACCGTGTCTGACACTACAGATCATAGTCACACAATAAACGAACAGCTTTAAACAGCCGCTCACCCTAATTACCACAAATAGGCGGCTTGCAAATGGCCACTGCTAGGACGATCGTGTACTCACCTAGTCAAACTAACAAGCAGAGTAATTAACCCGTCCATCGGAAATCGTTACGTCACCATATCGGTGGTGTTGATGGCGGTGAGAACCAGCAAGGGGAGACAATGGTCCCAGTCCAAATGGAGTTACCTCAAGAGAAAGGGGTAAAGCACGGCTATCCGTTTACACGTTGGGCGCCACATAGGTAGATGTAGCACCATATTAGGGAAGTATAGGGCCATGTAGGGGAAATGTAGCACCATATTAGGGAAGTATAGAGCAAGATAGGGGGATGTAGCATTACATTAGGGAAGTTATATCACCACATACGGGAAATGTAGCACCACATTAGGGAAGTGTAGCACCACATTAGGGAAGTGTAGAGCCACATGGGGGGTGTAGCATTACATTAGGGAAATGTAGCACAAGATAAGGGCAGTATAGCACCACATACGGGAAATGTAGCACCACACTAGGGAAGTAACACATACGAAAAATGTAGCAACATAGTGCATGTCCCAAATTTATTCCATCCCAGTACAAATACATAGCCCATTCTCCGTGTCCTCCATTTCAGACACCAGAGGCCCTATCTTCAAAGACGTGTCCATATTTTAAAATGTAAATGTAAAGATACCTCATTAAAAATTCGACACGTTATTTTGGCATGTGTAGAGCAGTCGTACAAAAGTACATCTAATAATATATCGAGTCCTTTCTGTCATACATACATCAACGCCAACGTATTTTAATGCACGTTAATCCTAGCGGATCACAGCATCGCTATACATAGACATGCAGGGGATGACAAAATACAATGCAGTGGATGACACCATTCAGTGGATGACACCATTCATTGGATGACACCATGCAGTGGGTGACACCATTTGGTTGATGACACCATTCAGTGGATGACACCATTTAGTGGATGACATCATGCAGTGGAATACACCATCCAGTAGACGACACCATTTAATGGATGACACCATTTAGTGGGTGACATCATGAAGTGGACGGCACCATCCAGTGGACGACACCATTTAATGGATGACACCCTGCAGTGGATGATACTATCCACATATTGACAAAAATAGGCCTCATGTTGACAAAACTAGGTCTCATGTTGACAAAACTAGGTCTCATGTTGACAAAACTAGGTCTCATGTTGACAAAACTAGGTCTCATGTTGACAAAACTAGGCCTCATGTTGACAAAACTAGGCCTCACGTTGACAAAAATAGGCCTCATGTTGACAAAACTAGGCCTCACGTTGACTTGACAAAACTAGGCTTCATGTTGACCAAACTAGGCTTCATGTTGACAAAACTAGGCCTTATGTTGACAAAACTAGGCCTCATGATGACAAAACTAGGCCTCTTGTTGACAAAACTAGGCCTCATGTTGACAAAACTAGGCCCCATGTTAACAAAACTAGGCCTCAAGTTGACAAAATTAGGCCTCATGTTGACAAAACTAGGCCCCATGTTGACAAAACTAGGCCTCAAGTTGACAAAATTAGGCCTCATGTTCACAAAACTAGGCTTCATGTTGACAAAACTAGGCCTTATGTTGACAAAACTAGGCCTCATGATGACAAAACTAGGCTTCATGTTGACAAAATTAGGCCTCATGTTGACAAAACTAGGCCTCATGATGACAAAACTAGGCTTCATGTTGACAAAATTAGGCCTCATGTTGACAAAACTAGGCCTCATGTTGACAAAACTAGGCCTCGTGTTGACAAAACTAGACCTCATGTTGACAAAACTAGGCCTCACGTTGACTTGACAAAACTAGGCTTCATGTTGACCAAACTAGGCTTCATGTTGACAAAACTAGGCCTTATGTTGACAAAACTAGGCCTCATGATGACAAAACTAGGCCTCTTGTTGACAAAACTAGGCCTCATGTTGACAAAACTAGGCCCCATGTTGACAAAACTAGGCCTCAAGTTGACAAAATTAGGCCTCATGTTGACAAAACTAGGCTTCATGTTGACAAAACTAGGCCTTATGTTGACAAAACTAGGCCTCATGATGACAAAACTAGGCTTCATGTTGACAAAATTAGGCCTCATGTTGACAAAACTAGGCCTCATGTTGACAAAACTAGGCCGCGTGTTGACAAAACTAGACCTCATGTTGACAAAACTAGGCCTCATGTTGACAAAACTAGGCCTCATGTTGACAAAACTAGGCCTCATGTTGACAAAACTAGGCTTCATGCTACAAGCATGTTATCGACCCCGCGATTCGGGGCACCATATTTGCATCACCACGTGACCACCCTGGACGGGACCAGCATCTAGTTATCATCCTTTGTCCCCAAATTCACCCCTCCCATGACGTAACACAGCAGTAGCCGGAAGCGAGGCGTGCATCCGCTATGCATGCTTGCACCTAATCTCTTGTTATCTTTGCCCGAGGCTAACGCGAGTTGTGTGACAGAGCGAAGACACACCTTTAGACCGTGCAGGTCTTGCTGGACCTGACACCAACACCGAGGATGCACTTTACCCAGGTGCGAATAAACTTAATGCTTCTGTTTAAACACTGACGACACATACAGACAGTATAGCAATACTAGAACTTGAAGACAGAATCCTAAGCCAAAACTACCTTTAATATTTTGGATTGTATTAGTTTGAGAATACATTTGTATGTAACTAGATCTAGAATAAAAGTATCAGTAAAGCATAAAGCTTTAAATCAAGGCGTGTTTTCTATGCAGTTTCCTTGATTTTACGACCATAAAACGACGAGGAATAATCGACACCAACAAATATACTTGGCGTTACGTAACAAGCATATTACTGTATTACATAATACTTTAGGAATCAAAAGTTAGTTGTAGTATTTAAATATTTATAAAATATACATTGCTTTTAAAATAACCTGCGAAACCAATAGGACAAAGTCTGTATTCTACAAGAAATAAAGGTTCATTTAAATATGAACATAAAATCTGTTCATATTGGTGAACGAGCAAATGTAAACAAACCGCGCAGGCACGTGAGATAAAAAAAAATTAGTACATACCATGGGGGTGAGTAGATGAAGCCGTCACCGCTGTACCCCGTCTAGTGAACACGTCCACACGTAACATCCAACCACAACACAGAGACGCGGCCCGCGGTAAACAGCGCGCGCCACTGTAAACACGCGCCTAGTGGCCGACTAAATATACCGTCCAATACAATGAATTAACTAACCGAAAGTTCAACGCGCCTTGCACGAGGCGATGGCGAGACAGGGGACGTTAGCGGACTCGAGGACAGCAGTTAGATAACCAAGTAGAAAAGCGGCACTTACTTTCTTGCAGCAGACATCTGTGGGCACCGAGGCGATCGCCGAATATACCAAGATGTGGTTTGCTATCAAGTAGGTCAGGGGAACCTTGACCTGAAAAAGGCGAATAAAGCAGATCTGTACGAGCACACAAAAGTAGATAATCTTTGGCTGACTTTTCTAAGGGGCGGGGCGTAACGGTGACACGAATTACATGCAAGATGGGTTACTGGTAGGGGCACGTAATTTAAAAAAAAAAGTGACCCACTTCTCATGTGGTGATTAACACATAGTCGTGTAATTAGGACAGTGCTAATGCTAACACACATTCCATCCTTTATCAAAACAAACAAACCCGTACAGAAAAAATAAAAATCTCCATTAAAAAAAAAAGTTGGAATAACAGCAGGGAAAACACAACACTGCGGATCCCTAAACAGGAGGGGAGGGGGGGGGGTTCTGACTTTGGAATTTTGTCCTTGAGGTTACATGGGAATGGGGGCGGGGAGGGATACTGCACGAGAACGTCACGTAACCTATAACAAAGGGCGACAACATTGTGTGCGCTTGTTACTTCCCTTGTTACTTCAATGAAACTTATCCTGCCTGGGAAAGTTTTTCATTCGAATTTGCTTTGAATAAGCAGCAAGATAAATATAGATAAATATAAAACTTTTACAACCTGCCATTATTTGTTGTGCCAAATTTAAAATACACGATATATATATATATATATATATATATATATATATATATATATATATATATATATATATATATATATATATATATATATATATATATATATATTATGTACATGTATAATGTTTAAACTTAAGTATTATAAATGAGGCTAGACTGCACCTGCTCTGTTTCTCACTCCTCCTCCACCCGCCCCACATTGACAACACAAAGACGCAATCAAACAAAAAATTAAAGAATATAAAAAATAATATAAAGCATAGCTACACATTTTTTTGTTCACAGCTAAGGAGAAAAAGATAATTAGATTTTAAAAAATGCAGCAGGTAGCTACGAACGCTAGGTGATTTAAACCATTTTCACTATAATAATGACAACATTAACCAAGTGATTTGTCGGCATAAGATATACATCATCTTCACTAGAATAATGACAGCATTTATCTCTGATTTAAAAAACCCAAGATGAACATGTATAGGAGTTATTGTTTTTAAGTCTCTTTTTATTAGCCCTGAAGTTCAAGCGATTAGCAGCTTATTTGCTACTTTAGATTTACTTTAAAATGCAATCGTTTAGTTATGTAGTGTGACTAATGCTGTAGGACACTAGAAATGGGTACTTAGAGTGTGAGCGGTCCAGACGGTACTCACAGGGCTAGACAAGATGAAACCTGCTACTGTCAGATTATAAAACACATCTCGACACACTACATAAAGGTTGAGAAGTCGCAGTACATACATCCTATTTGTATTGAACCATTTGCCTTTATTGAAACAATTGTTATATAAGGGCGTCAATAAATGACGTCACATCATAGGGTGATGGGGATACATAGATTAGGACATAGTGTGAGCTAAGGGAGGGGTGAGGGGTGTAGGGAGGCTTAAAAATAAGACAGATTATCTTTGGTAGTAATATAATAAATGGGGTGAAAACGAGGGATTATGGTGTGCTCGGATGGGGGGGGGGTGTGGAAACTGTGACGGCAGTTATGTGAAGTAGCCTGGCGTTTTGTGACGGACTGACGACAGAAGCTGGGAACATGTATCAACTTATATTGCGTACGTCATTTAAGGACCATCCTTTGTATTGAACAATTACAAGGCTCAGTTATTTTCCCCCACATATCAGCTTACCTCCCCTGAACGACCCAGCATGTAAACAATGAAGTTAGGGGAGACAACTCGTGGGAAAGAGGGACGACAACACCATGACGACGAGAGAATGCTCTAATTGAGCGAGAGATTTTACTTGTGTGGAACTGTCAGAGAGATGCTTGCACTCTAAGAAAATCTAGGTCTTACTTTTAAGTGAGGGGGGGGGGGGGGGGGTACTGTAGGGGTGCAATTACATTAGCTTAAAAAAAGCTGTAGATTATAAATGTATCTTCTAGATAAATATTACATTTATCAAAAATAAAATTCTAGCATTATAAGTCATAAATTAACGGGCTGGCTTAACGAAATAATCAATTTCATCTTCTCCAGGCCTTATCGCCCAAATCAGAGAAGAAAATGTAAATGTGTGTTACACTTTACTGTAAGTTATATGATCTACATAGACACACGGCTTTATCTGTATGAAATGTAACCACAGTTACGGTGACCTAAGCACGTTGACTGCTAATTGACGCTTGCAGTTGTTGAACTATACTGCATGTCAAGACAGGTTCGTCTGAGCATGGATCTCGTGACGTCAACAGTCGTGTAACAGTTTTCGGTCAACGAAGCGGGTTTCAAATTGTATGGACAGCTACACTACAGAACAGAACGGGTCTCAAATTGTATGGACTGTTACAGCATAGGACAGAAAGGGTCTGAAATTGTATGGAGAGCTACACTATAGGACGAAGCGGGTCTCAAATTGTGTGGACAGTTACAGTACAAGACAGAAATGGGTCTCAAATTGTGTGGACAGTTACAGTACAAGACAGAACGGGTCTCAAATTGTGTGGACAGTTACACTACACTACGGAGCGGGGATTGGTTCTTGAGAAAGTATACTGAAGGGGTGGGAGAAATGAGGTTACAGCACTCCACGCTGAGGTTGTTGACCCCTGCTCTGAATACCAGTGCCGGGTATTAAATTACCCGACTCCAGTTCTGAGGGTAATCTAACCTGATCTAGGCAATCTTTCCGACGTGATATCTGTTTCCCATTTTGAATGTCTAATGAATAAGTGGTAAGATTTTCACAACATCAATGGTTGAGGATGTGATTACCACAACTCCACAACGTACCAATGAGAATTACCGTGTGATAATTACCGCGTCAGATCACTCATCCACACATCACTCAAATTCTAAACGGTTTATCAAAACTAATTTTTAATCAAAAGGACTTAACTAAATCTTGATTTATCGAAAGTAGTTCATCATATTTTTTTTTTTAAATGTTTTACAAAACATCTGTTTAATCCTAAAATTTTAACTTGACAGAAAGATTTAATTATCACATATTCATTTATGTTTCTATTTCCATTTAAAAGCCAATACCCAGCCGATTCCGACAAAAAAAAAAAAACGGAAATCGAGAAATCCCGATATAAGAGGGCAGGGACAGGGGCACAGAGAGATCAGTACAGGCGCACTGGGCGGCTGGTACTGGAGAAGGCTGGCACAAGGGCATGGGGCAGCTAGTACAGGGGCACTCGGGCACGGAGCGACTGGCACAAGGGCATGGGGCGGCTAGTACAGGGGCACTCGGGCACGGAGCGACTAGTACATGGCAGCTAGTACTGGGGCACTGGGAGGTCCGGAGCGGCTGGCACAAGGGCATGGGGCGGCTAATACAGGGGCATTGGGGCACTGGGCGGCTGGTACACGGGGCACGGGGCGGCTGGTACACGGGGCACGGGGCGGCTAGTACAGGGGCACTCGGGCACAGAGCGACCAGTACATGGCGGCTAGTACTGGGGCACTGGGAGGTCCGGAGCGGATGGCACAAGAGCATGGGGCGGCTGGTATAGGAGACTACTCCAATCCCTCGTCCGAGGACGATAGCACATACAGCTTACGTTTTCATTTCTTGTTTAATACAATACCTAATATCTATTTAAATACAAATTAACAGATCTTTGTGTTTAAATACATCACACAATGGTTTTGTTTAAATACATAACCAAATTATTTAGTTGAAGTAAAAATTGGTTTCGTTTAAATAAATCTCAAACTTGCGTTGTTTAAATGCTTTTGCTAATTAATCAAAACGACTGAAATATCAGATCTAACCTTTGAAATAAAACCCACTTAATTTAGTTATTTAACCCAGTTAATTTAATTAATTGCAAAGAAGGCCAGTTGTTCTGAAACAATAAAGGGCACACGCATATAGTTAAACATTTAGTTGGTTTTAGGTACATGAACGTTTTGTGTTCAAACGAAAGCTCGTATCACACTTGTGCTGGGCACCCTCTGATCTGTCTAGTCAGTTTGTTCCAGAAGATGACATAGAAACCCACTGAAGTGGACGGCAAGGATACAAATACAACCAATCGATGAATAGAGATGTACTGCGTTCACATTTGATTTTTTTTTGTTTAAAAATCACGTGACTTCCCGTGTTAAGTAGGACAGGGCTGATCGATAGCCAATGTTTGCAAATGTGACTAAAAATAGAAGATTGTTGACATTTTAGTTCGCGTTTGTTTACAGTCTAATAAATCTCTAGTCTTGACCTTAACCAATGTTCTTCAAATGTTCACGCTAGACATTCCATAACTTTCTCTTCAAATGTTCATGCTAGACATTCCATAACTTTCTCTTCAAATGTTCATGCTAGACATTCCATAACTTTCTCTTCAAATGTTCATGCTAGACATTCCAGAACTTTCTCTTCAAATGTTCACGCTAGACATTCCATAACTTTCTCTTCAAATGTTCATGCTAGTCATTCCATAACTTTCTCTTCAAATGTTCACGCTAGACATTCCGCAACTCTCTTCAAATGTTCATGCTAGACATTCCATAACTTTCTCTTCAAATGTTCATGCTAGACATTCCGTAACTTTCTCTTCAAATGTTCATGCTAGACATTCCATAAATTTCTCTTCAAATGTTCATGCTAGACATTCCATAACTTTCTCTTCAAATGTTCATGCTAGACATTCCACCGATATTTCTTCCAATATGCCACATATTAGCTTCTCCCAATGTTCAGACCTTCCAGAACAGTCTCTTTACGTTTTAATGTTAGACACTAACCCACCCGGCAGATATTTTTTACTGTATTTTTTTCAACAGAACAAAATAGCATATGTTTACCTTTCAAAAACTTAAAGCTAGTCGAGTATGTAAGTAAGACTACCATAAAGCCACACAGCCTTAGCTCCACATACTTTAAACAACTACCATAAAGCCACACAGAGTTAGCTTCACAGTTCTCCACCAAAAGCACATACTTTAAACAACTAA